CTGCAGACGAGACGAGGAGAACATCAGTCACATGATCTCTGTCTCTCTCACACACACACACAAAGACGCACACACACACCCACACAGTGAAAATACACGCACACACACACACACACACACACAGTGAAAATACACGCATGCACACACACAAAGACGCACACACACAAAGACGCACACACACACCCACACAGTGAAAATACACGCACACACACACACACACACACACAGTGAAAATACACGCATGCACACACACAAAGACGCACACACACAAAGACGCACACACACACCCACACAGTGAAAATACACGCACACACACACACACACACACAGTGAAAATACACGCATGCACACACACAAAGACGCACACACACAAAGACGCACACACACACACAGTGAAAATACACGCATGCACACACACAAAGACGCACACACACAAAGACGCACACACACACACAGTGAAAATACACGCACACACACACACACAGTGAAAATACACGCACACACACACAGACGCACACACACACACACACACACACACACACACACACACACACACACACACTCTACCTCACAACAAAGGATGGCATGACATTTATAATCAGTGAAACAATTTGGACCAAAAACCTTCAAAGACAAAAGGAAATTCAGCCGATATGTGTGTGTGTGTGTGTGTGTGTGTTTGTTTCTAAATCTTGTGGGGACCATGTTCCTGACAGATTCTACTCTGTGAGGACTCGCTGCTCCTTGTGGGACAGAAGCCTGGACCCCTCAAGGGGAATATCTGTTTTTGGGTCAGGGGTCAGATTTAAGATTAAAGTGTGAATTGAGTTTTGGTTACGATTAGGGGTTAGGCTGTAGAAATGAAGATAGCCACGCAAACCGAATTCTGATCGCAAATATTTAGTTTGATCAGTTAAACCAGGTGTGTCAAACTCGTTTTCGTTTTGGGCCAAATTAAGATCATGAAGGCTCTTAAAGGGCCAGTTGTGCCAGAATCTGTTGATAAAACCTGTTCACAAACTGTTAATATGTCAATGAATTCTTAAAATTACATCATATTATTGAAGATCTTTTCAGTCTCTTCAGGAACTAATAATAAATGCGACTGTTTATTTACTCGCTGTATAAATCATGGACTATAATCACACATCAATTAAATTCTCAAGAAACTGAAGGGATTGATATAAATTGGCAGTAAACAGATAAAAACTGTATTGATATGATTGATAATATAATATTTAATCACACTTAGTGTTTAGTCTACACTGTAGAGGGCCACATAAAAAGCTACAGGGGGCCGGATTTGGCCCCCGGGCCTTGAGTTTGACACATGTGAGTTACACAATGCGAGCTGATGTTTTTCTCAGCCACTGGACACTGACAGATGTAATAATATAAATATTTGCCTTATTAACACACAAAGTAACACTTTCAAAAACCTGCAGCTAAGGATTCTGGGAAATATTTCCAACTCCTGTTTTTTTCTCCTTTTTAAGTGCTGACCTAAAAATCTTTGTTTACACGATATTGGAGACACAAAGTCTCTCTTTCATAAATTCAAACCCCAAGCAAATGTTGTACAGTGCATTTCTACATATGGGACAGATGAATACAAAGTGGTGCAGAATCGATAATTTATAGAGCATCTTTCTACAGGTCTTCATAAGGCTGGATGGAGAACATCTGAAACTTCGACTAGACCATTTTAGTCCATAATACTATTTCAGGATGTCACTTTCGAGATTTTTGTGTAAAAACAATTGAAAACTAGGAATAATTTCACATTAACATGACTCTTTGTGTCAGAGTTTGAGGATAGTTCTTTTACAGCCAATCAGATGCAGAGAAGCAGCAAGCTGACTCAGCTGAGAAGAACCAGAACCTCGGTTTTGGCTTCATGGCTGCTAGTTTTGGTTAAATCTGTTGTAATTCTGAAGGAGCTGCTTAGCTCATTGTTCTGACCCGGTTTATGATCCACTTTCTGACTCAGGTTCTAATCTGGGTTTTGATCCAGTTTCTGACCCGTTCTGCTTGCTTCAGGCTGAGATGCTGGTGCAGCCGAGATGACGCAGTTATGATGTTTGAATGCGCAGCAGAACCGGGGAATATCCGCTGTTTGCGCTTCTAGTTTCCATGTCTTCCTCTTCCAGCCCATCAGCCCATCTGCTTCCACTTTAGCAGCTTCAGAACCAGAACAAACTTTTCTGTAATTTTCATCTGTTTGCAGCAGTGAGATAAACAAGTAGATGAAAAATAAATGGAGGAGGGAGCATTAAAAAGTAATTTATTACCGGCATTTCAGAGATAATATATTTTACTGTTTGTTTACCATCTATTTGTTCTTTGTTTTGGCAGAAGAAAAAGTGAAATAAAAGCTGTGATGAGACAGTTTGTCTTTAAGTGACTGTCTCACTGCTCCTCCCTTCATGCTGCTGCTGGGGGTTGAAAACTTTATTCCCTCCTGCAGAGCTGGGTCTGATTCTGAGAAATCTGGGTGGTCCAAACAGAAATGCAGCCAACGTTTTATTAAAAAACTAAAAAATGAGGATAAATCAGTATATAAAAAAGATCTGCTCACAAAAATCACTGAAATAATAGTAATAAATTTACTGTTACATATCTGAGGCCATAACAAATAAAATTCAACACTCTTTATTATCGACAAAATTAAAAAGAAAAACTAGAAACCATAAGAGAAACTTTGAAATATGAAGAAAGAGATGATAGTTCAAAGTTTGTTTCACCAAATTCTGGTTCCTGGAAAAGTTTAACCTTATAGTGATTAAAACTATAGGGACGACAGAGAAGGCTGCTTATTTTCTACAGGTGTAATGGTAAAAAACTGCATTCAATAAGCAGTAGATACAGACAGTGTGGGCTCAACGAACCAAATAGCTAGCGTCACAAACCGCTAATTTTCTAAACTAGATTCTGAGCTCTGCTAACATTAAACACAAAAAATTAGCAGAAGCTATCACCGCTATAAAACCTGGACACAAAGAAATTTGCTACTCTGATGCTAAACTGCTAATTACAAAAATTGCGTACAAGTTAACAATAAACTCCTAATGACATAAAATAATTACAGAAACTACTCCAAATGTATAAAAAATTAGCAGAAGCATTAAGCTAGCTTTAGCTTCTTCTCTGGTGTGAGACGCACTAACAGGAAAGTCCTCAGTTGCTGACTTTGCTACATTTTACCACTTTATGTTTGTATAAATATGATGACCAAAGAAGAAACCATACAATCTGACATAAAGTTCATCCAGGTCCTGACAATGAGGAACATTTCATTACAATAATTGGTTTGAAAGTCTAAAAAATGGTAGGCATTTTGAAAAATGTCCAATATGGCCAGCTGCTTGAATCTTGAAATTCAAGCAGCTGGTAGGAAAAATGAAAAACAGTTGATATTTTATTTGATCTGTTTTTTATCCGATCACCTGATTAATCGTAAGAATAATTGATAGATTACTCGTTTACTAAAATATTCGTTTACAACAGCCCTAGTGTGAGTCTTTTTGTTTGAGTCTTTTGGTTTGAGTCTTTTGGTTTAGGTCTTTTTTGTTTGAGTCTTTTGGTTTGAGTCTTTTTTGTTTGAGTCTTTTGGTTTGAGTCTTTTTTTAGGTCTTTGACTCATCTCGGGCTCCAAGAAGACTGATGGACGTTTCAGCGTTTCCTCGTCAGAACTCAGAGCGTTACATCATCTCTCTCACTTCCTCCATCCATCTACAGCTTCATCACTTTCTCTCCCCGTGTCTGGCTCTCGCTTGCCCCCCCTGGGGGCTGTTACAGTATTTAATATTGTCCCATAAAGAGAGTAATAAATATTGACTGCTGGCTAGTTCATATTCTCCAGGTTTTAAGGCACTCCGCTGGAGGGTGAAACCAAAGTCATGCTGCAGGTGTTCGGACTGCTGAGCGCCATTCAGAACTTTCCGCTTTCTACCGTTTGGACCTACAGCTGGTCTTCTACTACAGCATAAGAAGAACATCAGTTTAATATAAATATTGTATTTCCTGTTTTGACGTCAAAACCACTCACAGGGTTTTAGATGAAACAGGAGCGGGACAGTAACCACATTCTCAGCCTGAAAACTGGTTTTATGCTGGAATGTGAACTGGGGATAAACACTGGAAGCTTTTCCTCCAAACTTCATTTGTTCTGGGAAAACTTTTATCCCATCAGATCTGCATCCTGGCAACGTCACGAACGTATAGCTCCACGCATGTGAAACTGGAAGCTTCCCATCAGAACCACTGCTTGGCTACGGATCCACTCCACTTGAATGATGCCGATGGCTGCCAACAAACTGCAGGGATATATATTACCCAGAGCTGGCACTGAGTTGCAAACAGCATGACTGTGGTATTGAGCTGTCAAGCAACAACTCTCCTTTTCTTTTTATGCCAAATGTTCTGAACTAAAAGTATTTTTCTCCTGGCAAGCAGAACAGCATTTCAGGATGGAACGCAAAAACGATCAGCTGTTTCTGTTTTTAGATTTCTGCGTCATAAAACCTCTGTCAATTCATAGCCTACATGTTTTAAACAACTGAAATTATGTGTTCTTCATCTTTACAACCTTTTTCAGGTTAAGGAAAATATATATATTTGCTCTAAAAGCTGCAGTAACTATTGCCACAGCTAACCAAAACGTTAACTTCACTAACCAGTAATCGACTACAACAAAATCTTAGCTATGCCAATGATAATCTGACAAACACTTAAAATAAATTAGTGGAAGCTAGCACTAAGCAGCTAAGCATATTAAAAGATTAGCGGAAAACTTATGCTAAAAACAACTAAGAACATAAAAAAAATCAGAGGAAGCTAACGCTAAACTCTCAATCACATCCAAAAATTAGCAGATGCTAACAATAAACTGCTAACCATGTTTAAAAATGAGCAGAATATTCAGTGAACGACTGAGAACATAAAAAATTAGCAGAAGCTAATGCTAACCATTAAGATGACTGTCTTTTGTCACTTTAAAG